CGGATATCTTGCTGTATGCTTCTATATCACATAAAAGGTTTGATGGCAAAATCAGACCTTTGTTTAATCAGGAAATATGTGATGAGATAAACATATGCAATGTTTTACCATCTCTTCGACTTCAAATTAGACTGTGTATTTGGGACTTACTGCTGCAACCTGAAATGTGCTTTTCATGATAATGGCTGAAATTGGACGACGTGGAAAAAGAACAACAAAAAACCTGAAGTCACTCGTGTTTGTTATTTAGTTTGTCTTCTTGTATGGAACAAACGGTAAAGCGCTCACAAATACCACCATCAAAGTACGCGTTTCAAGGTAATGTTGGACTTCAACGCTCAAAGTAATTTCTTCACGAGGCCAACAGCAGCAGCAGCAGACACAGGTCAGCTGACCCTTTCTTGAGCGCCATTGGCATGAGGACTAGCATCTGAAGGGCTGCCATGGGTTGGAACTAAAAAGGGGAAGCAGCCTTTTTCCATTTCAAATCCTGGAGGTCAACTGTAGAGGAGATGAAGACGAAGAGGGAGGGGCTGGGTAAAAGAAGCAGGACTGCCTTCCCCAAGGCAGAGCATTGAACTGCTTGCCAAGTTCTGAGTTCAGAATTGTTTTCTTTCTGAGATGATGAAAACATAAAAGCGCCTAAGGTCAAGGGAAGAGTTCATCTTAGCAGAAAGCCCCATGCTCCATCAGACGCTAAAGCCCACAGGCTTGAGGTCAGCTCTCTGCCGGCTTCGCTCCTTCTCCAGAGTTGGAAGTTTTTTCTCCTGTGGAGTGCAGCTGGTGTTTCAAACTGCTGACCTAGTGGTTCGCGGCCCAATTTGTAGCCCAGGCTCCTGGGGGAGTTCTGTGGGATCCTATAGGCTCACTGAGTTGGAATTCCACTTGAATTCAGGTTTCGTTGGGGTTGTTGTGGGAATGGCTAAGAAGCCATTTAGTGAACATGGATTTGTCAAGCTGGGTGCTGGTTGTGAGGCATGAAGGCCAGGTCGTGGCGCCTTTTATTTACAGAGACAGGGAATCCCGGAGAAAGCCAGGCCCTGGTGGGGTGTGTGTTACAGAAAGAAAGAGTTAGCAATACAGGGCCGGAGACTGGGCAAGTAGTTGGCAATTGAAGCCGTGGGAGAGGCTGACAGCGCCTCGGCTGCCGGGAACAGGGATGACACATGCTTCCACAGCCAGTTGTTCCTATTTCGCTTCAGCGCCTGCAGCCGTCACACAAAACGCCCACAGGGACAGCTGCCAAAATCCAACTTTAATCCCCCACCGCTCCTCCCAACTTCGAGCGCTGCGCGAAAGTGAG